AAATCGTTGTACTAGATTAGCACTCGTCTTTTTGTAACCAAAGTGCCCGGTTGCGTCATGGCATTCTCCTAAAAACAAACTACGCAAACGTTCACTAGATGGAACTACTAGCCTTTTAACACCGGCCTTATCAAGATAGAGTAGCCCGTCCACCATCACAAACTCACTTTCCGTGGCCTTGTCTTTTGCCTGAAGTTTGCGCATGATGTCCATCGTGACAGGGTCTTCCTGATAGGCTCCCACCAACGATTGAGTCACTTCCTGAGATACACCAAACTCGGAAACTAGCGCCCCTAGGTAGTCTGCTCTACGAGATAGCGCATCTGCAACCTTGTTGTACTCTCCCTTCAGATACTCAAGCTTGAAGTCATATTGATCTATGACCTCAATCCAGCGCTTGAGTGCATCAGAAAGAGCCGATTGAGTCTTGATCCATTTGAGCGTCTGATGGTCAGTTCTCAAGTAGAAGAACCGTCCCAACAGAAAATGTCTCCAATGGACAAGGGCCTTATAGAGATCATAGAGTTCCCTTTCATTGGTGGACTTTGCCAATTTCTTCGATGGCATCTTCTTGCTCATGTACTCAATTGGTCTCAACTTCTTCCCATCCTGTTGAGCCATCACTGCGCCAATGCCGTATTGGCTTGCGTCAGTGGTCACTATGAATGGCTTTTGAGGATCGGGAACCATGAGAACTTCATGATTCATGAGTGCATGCTTCAATCGCTTGAAAGCACCCTCGCACTCATCACTCCAGTCCCACGGTGTGTCAAGTCGAGTTAGATTTGTCAAAGGAGAGGCGACTGTAGAATAGTTCTTTACGAAGTTCCTATAGTAGCCGCACATTCCTAAGAAAGATCTGACCTCAGTGACAGTCTGAGGTCGTGGCCAGTCTCGAATACTAGCCACCTTCGCATCTTCCGGCCTAATCCCTTCCACGGATAGTTCATGACCCAAGTATAGTATCTTAGTGCGACCAAACTCACACTTCTCTAGGTTGACCTTATACTTGTGCTGTCGCAGGAGTGAAAGTACAGTCTCAACGTGCTGTGCATGCTCCTCGACAGACTTACTAAAGATCAAAATGTCGTCAAGGTAAACCACGACAAACTTATCTAAATGGTCATGGAAGATCCGATTCATAGCGTGCTGGTATGTTCCCGGCGCATTGCAAAGACCAAAGGGCATCACTACAAACTCATACGGACCATATCGAGTCTGAAAAGCTGTCTTGTGTTGGTCCTCGGGTCTTATAGCGATCTAATGATAGCCGGATTTCAAGTCTATCTTGCTATAGTACTTGCATCCCTGCACCCTATCCAGTAGGTCGTCTATGCGAGGTAGAGGCTCTGCGTTCTTCACGGTGATGGCATTGAGGCCTCTATAGTCAATGCACATCCTCAATGTACCCCCCTTCTTTGGTACGAATAGTACTGGCGATCCGTAAGGGGAAGTACTAGGCCGGATCCATCCCTTCTTTGTCAGCTCTTTTAGTTGTCGCCGGAGTTCATCTAACTCGGCGGGAGCCATCCTATAGATCCTCCCCTTTGGGGTTTTACTCCCTGGGATGATTTCTATAGCGTGGACAACTTCCCTTTCTACGACCCCTGTAGGCTCTTCGAACAGATCCGGGAACTTAGCAACGACACGTTCTATCTCTGGGGGTGTTTTAACAGCCTCCTCTTTCTCAGAGACATTCACTAGGTATATACCTTCCTCTTAGTTCTGCTTGTAATAGTTGTAGAATGCTGATGCGCACAAGCAGCCATAGGTATCTATTATGCTACTGGCTTTGAACTTAGTCAATCTGACTGTCCTGCCATCGGGCAACTTATGCTTTAGCACCTTCCTTTCCCAGTCGAACTGGGGCTTAGCAACCTCAAGGTAGTACATGCCTAACAACATGTCGAATGGTAAGTCGTCGCTAACCAAGAATGAAATCTTATGATTAAGTTCTCCTCCTCCATAGGAGAAGGTACAAACTACGTCCTTGATATAGTCTGTGACTATCATGCGCTCCTTGTTGGCCAAAGTAGATCCTACAGGTCTACTAAGGTGTCGTACCCAGTCTTGTAGGTGCAGCCTTTCCAAACAGTCGCTACTTATGTAATTCCGCGTGGAGCCTATGTCTATGAAGGCACCACATTTGCGGCCTCCTACATTGACTTCCACCACGAAATGTTCCCCTTTAGGACCTTTCCTTAGCGCCACCCAAGATTCGCGAGGGTCCTTGTTTGACCACTCGCTTTCCAGATCTTCTAAGGC